CTTGCTCGCCTGCAGGTGCGAGAAGACCTCACCCCGAGGCCGCTGCGGCGCCGCCTCCAGAGGGGTGCGCTGCGCCACGCTGCCCTGAACCGGCTCCCTCACTAGGTTTACCTCGGAGAGAAAAGTACAGAGGGCTCCGAGTATCTTTTCTTTTCCTCTGTGCCCCTCAATGACGTAAAACGACGGCTTACCTCGGAGTGGACCCCTCCTTAAAAACTGGTCTGGGTCAGCCTGGGTGTCAATTGAGAAAGGAGATGGGGAGGGAGGTTGGATGGCGCACAGAGACCAAGGCGAGCGCCCTTGCTGTTTACCTGCCCTGTTCATTTTTCTTACAGTGCCTTCTCAGGGCTCTGCCAGTCCGGCCTCTCCCTCGTGATCCCTGTTGAAGCTGTTGGCAGCCAGCAGACAGCGCTTTTTCTGGGCTGGCCATCCTTAAGGGAGACCTTGCTCTCCTCCATCCTGGCTTCTCCCCCCTCCCCTCTGCCCCCACCTCCTGCTACCTTAAAATAAGTATTCCTCCCCACAACCACAGATCCCCTAAAATTTAATGTCTCAAAGAGGTAGGCTCAGACAGCCAAAGACGACTCCAGAAATAAACTGAAGTGTGGCGAGCCTCCTTAGGACCCAGTAATACTCCAGGATGAACTAACTAGATCTCTGTAATATAGAAATTACACAGTAAAGTAACTGGTGGGTGAGATTGCATTCTTCCAGGGAGCTTAACTTAGTCTTCCACTTGCTTAACTTAGTCTGGAAGTACTCATATAGCACCAAAGGCAGAGAAGTTATTTTTAAAAACTATGTTTTAAGTTACGGATTTTCTTTTCCTCACCCCATGGGTGATATTAAAGTGGCCAGAAATCTCACTGTCGCTTCCCCAGTTGGTAGGAAAGTATTGTAAGCGGCTATATTGGAGATGTGGCATATGACTGCACAATGTACACATTGTTGCTTCTGCCCATCTGGGGAGTTTCGCACTAACACTAGGGAGGAAGTTAGGCTTGTGTTTAAAATCATGTCCCTGCGATGAGGTCTCTCAAGTTGGTGCAGGCATAACAGACTGCCCCTGTCACAGCTGTAAGCAGTAACACACTACAGCTCGGGAGTTAACCACCACCTCCTGCTTCCTCAGGAATATGCATGCCTTCTGATCACAATCATTTCCACCGAGGGGAAATCGAGGAAACCGTTATTGAAAGCTTCGGTAATGATCACAGCACCCTGGATGGGTACTCGAGAAGAACGACACTGTCTTCAAAAATGTATCATACCAAAGGTAGGTCTAGGGACCTGAAGACTCATTCTGATCGTTAGCACATCAGAAGTGTCTTTTGGATTATCTTAAATAATGCCGCTTTAGCGGTGACGGTGTACTTTTCTCATTGTCTCTTCTTTCCTAGGACAAGAAGGTTCTGTCTGTCTCCGGTCATCAGATTGTGCTACAGGGTTGTGCTGTGCTAGACACTTCTGGTCCAAGATCTGTAAACCTGTCCTCAAAGAAGGTCAAGTGTGCACCAAGCACAGGAGAAAAGGCTCCCATGGGCTGGAGATATTCCAGCGTTGTTACTGCGGGGAAGGTCTGTCTTGCCGGATACAGAAAGATCACCATCAAGCCAGTAATTCTTCTAGGCTTCACACCTGTCAGAGACACTAAGCCAGCTGTCCAAACACAGTGGACTCCTTTATATAATATATGCTATGAGAACCTTTTGTGACTTTTGCCAGCTCAATCCTTAAGGATGTACAAAGTCTGTGGTTACAGTTAAGCATTCCAATAATACCTTCTGAAAATCGGAGTGTAAGAGCTTTGTTTCTTTATGGAACTCTCCTGTCAATGGTTGCAGTAAATTACTGTGTTGTAAATTCTCAGTGTGGCACTTAACCTGTAAATGCAACAAAACTTTTAATTATTTTTTTCTAAAGGTGCTGCATTGTCTATTGTTCATCTTGTTATGTAAATTTTTGTACACGCTGATTGTTATCTTGACTCTGATAAATATTCTATGTTAGATTGTAATAAATAATTTTAGCTTATACTTTCTAAATGCCTAACCCTTTCCCCTTTTAATTCTAGAATATAGAATGCAAGGAACTTTTGGAATGACAAATGATAGATATCTAAAATTTATCATGAAAATACTAGCTTATTTTCTGAAATGTACTATCTCAGTGCTTAGATTACGTATATATCTCTCTCTAGGCTGCAGTCGTCCTTGAAATAAAATTTTACATTTAATACCATGAAATGCTACAAGTATAGATAAATTTTGACATTGTGATCTTAGGGGGGGTGTTCTACAGGGACAGAAATGTGACATATTTAGAGATAATCAGAGAAAGATATTTCCAAATATAAGACAAAATTGACCAATTTTTGAGTAATTTTAAAGAAAAATGCATTCTTCATTGACAAGCTCAAATGATCATGGTGGATGAGATTGAATCTTGCATTACTACTTTCAAAAATAGTTTCCAATAAGTTAATAATATCTACCCAAATGGTTAATAACTAATAGGTAGCAAAGGAAATTTCCAACAAAAGTCATTCCAGAGCAAAGGACTTGATAGTTAGCAGGAAGAGGCTGTGTATGTGTAGAAATACAGTTAAGTACATGCAGATTTTGTACCAAGTCAGTTAATCTGAAGTATCTGAAATACTATTCCATGCCAGGAAGACTTGTTCTAATTACTTTGATTATAAAATAATTATTCAATAAAACCCACAAGCCCTCCTTCATTATCTTCTTTTCATCTCTTGCTAGGTGAGTTCAGTATTTCCATTCTTGCTTAACCTGAATCCTGTTGATTATAATAAGGATACAGGCATATCGTTTAAAAGAAAGCCCACAGAGATGAAATCAGACTGGCTCTGCATTTTTACCTGCCAACTCTGATACTGGCAAATCTAATACTGGGGAAGGGAAAAGCAAGTGTCTCGATTTACACTTATTCTGTAATACACTAAAGCCTACCTCAAAACCACAAAGTGCTGGGTGTAAGGCACTCCAGAGGACAGTGACTGATCAACAAGCTTCCTTAAATAACGCAGACGCCCTTGAGTGTTTGTTGGTTTAGCTCTCCCGGAAGTGGGTCAGTTTCTCGGGGCGCAGCCAAAGGGCCACGCGGGGTGGCTGGCTCTTCACTGAGAAGGGGCCTGGCAGGATGTCTGCTGTTACATTCCTTTTGTCTGGAAGTTTCAGCTTCCTCACCCTGGAGAAACTTTCTTTCTCTACATGTGCTTGTCCTCTGAAGTGCCAGGAAGGCCGATTCTAAGGCCTGCCATCTCCAATAAAACACAATAGAGGAGAGGAAACAGGAAACCCTTTCTTCAAAAAGAAGAAAGAAGGGCCTCTGTTTAAGAGGGGAAAGGAGGGAAGCTTTAAAGGGCTTGGTTATGGAATCCCTTCCTTTCTGCAGGAACCCACTGTGGCCAGAGACGCTCGGCCTCTGCACCTCGCGGTGCATCCATCACGGCGCTGGCCCTTTTCTTCCCATCCTGTGATGGGGGCGGCAGAGGGAGAAACCGATCAAGGAGGGACACCTCTTCTTCCTATCAGACTGAGATGTTGGGAAGAGATAAAAACAAATTCTGCACATTATAAAGGTGAAAAATGAAGATCAGGAAAACTGTAGATACTTTGTTAGTTTAGGTAGTGATGGAGGCTGGAAGATGCAAGTCAGGCACAATACAAATTGGGGATCCTTTAAGGACTCCCCAACATCTTAGATAGTGGCTGCCTAAAATGTGTATATGATTTTACTCTAAAACAACTTATTTGAAATGGAAAACATATGCACTTGGGAATGTAGTCAAAAGGTATTTGATCAAATGGGAGCATTCTGCACGCTGCCCTGTATCTTGGTTTTTTTGTTTGTATTTGGCTGTGTGTATCTTGCAGGTCGCATTCTATGTAATACATAGAGAGGTTCTTACTCCTTTTACCGGTTGCCTTAAGAGTACAATATGTTGGAACAGCTATCCTGTAATTTATTTAAAGGGATAACTGAGAGACATTTCAATTGTTCCCAGTGCGTTTGCTATAACAAATATTGTGCCGTGACTACAGAATTTTTATGTTGTTGTTCTTGTGCCAGTATACTAATAGGATAAGATGATGGCTGATTTCTGAAGCAAAATTCAAAATCAGAAAGCATGCTTTTTGTAGCTACTCATAAGGAGCGGCATGGGCAAAATGTCAAGATGCCTGCTTATCACTGTTCCAGGGAAGATTAAACGCTTGCTAAGTTGTGTCAGAGGAAGAGGGAAATACAGGCTTATCCTAACAGTTTCACAGTAAGCAGTAATCTCTGGCATTCAGCTAAACGTAGACTTTCTCTAATTCCTTTGATTTTAAAATTATTAAATGAAATCACAAACAAGTCATTCCCCCATCCCTTTTTCGTGTTCTGCTAGAAGACTTAAATAGTTCAAATTCTGTTTAACCTGAAACCTATTGCTAATAATGAGGATGGAGATACATTGTTTAGAAAACAACAACACAGATATGAAGCCTCAGTATGATTATTCCTATTTCAGCAGAACGAAACACTTTATGAATTTTTCCGATGGTAAATCAAGTTGTACCAATTCAGTTATGGGAATTAGTAATAATTATACTGTTATAAATTTTATCAGCTTTAGTATTGCTAACTGCATAGTCAAATTAGCACGTGGGGAGAACGCTGTGAAGGCCTCGGGCAGCCTCGAAGTACGAGGTGGTGGGGCGAGGGCTGCCCACCCCTGGGGGCCACACCCCACCCCTGGGGGCCACACCCCACCCCTCTACCACACACGCAACTTTGCACCTGGCCATGTCCTTGCCAAGTCCCGCTTCTGGTACTAAACTCCTTGGGAAAACCGAGGTGCTCAGAAAAAAAAAAAAAATTAGCATGCACTGCCACTTACAGAAATTTCAGGTAAAATCATTCAACTTTTCTTCTTTTCTAAACTGTATAAATTGTCTAATTTTGTCATGCTACCAACTTTCTTTTATAGTCTTAAAAGAAAAATAGGTGATGCTACCATTAGACTTATAAAATATGTTCCACTGAGTTTTGGATTACAATTTTTAAACCTTCTAAAATACTACTCTGAGTACAGTACCAAAGTATGATACATTATTTATCTCCATACACATACACAAAAAAGCAGAAAATAAATAATCTACATAATTTAGGAATCTGATGTTTGTACAAATGTGTATATATATGTGGGCCTTTACAGGTTTGTCCTACTGGCAACTGCTTAGAAATAGTCAATCATGTCAATAATCTGAGACTACAATGTGGGTAATGCTAGAACACCTTAATTCAATAAACACTGCTTGAGCCTGTCATGCTCAGTAGGCTCTGCTGGCATTTGAAATGATGCACCCATTTAAAGTTATGTTAGCTACTTCCACATCAAGAAGCTCATCATTTAGCAAGGCATGGTAAGCAGCTTTGAGTGCTGGGGGGTGGTTTACATCGTGGTTAGAGACACAGTTTCTGGAATCAAATGGACTTGGGGTGGAATCGTCGCTCCCTCAGTTTCTGACTGACTGGTGCTAGGCAAAGGCTATAGCCTCGCTGATAATATAAAGGGAATTCTATAAAGAGAATACTAACTTTAGAATGTAGGTGTGAGTATCTCATTTTATAATACTGTTATACTTATGTATGTTATATATATAACAACAGTTTAAAAAGTAATTAAATCAGCCTGTAGGTGCTTTCAAAAAGCTTCAGGGAAGCTGTGGTGTTTAAACCATTTTCTTCTTGAGGCCATTGAATTCAAGGAAGATAAACCATTTGAACTAGAGAGAGGAAACAGGGTACGTGGGCTACAACGCTGTCAGTGCTGAAAATCAGCGTGCAAACCATTCTGCAGACTATTTCATTAGCTTGCTAATGACTTCTGTTCTACTGAAATTTGCACATGTCTATGGCTTGTCTGGGCGGCATAAATTTTACCCCCACTATAAATGACCTGCAGACTCAGCTCTGCTCAGCAAACTGCTTAGCCTCTCAGAGACTCGATTTCAAATTTCTGGGCAAAGGTTCTGATTGGCTCAGCTTTGATCTGGGGCTCACCTCTAGTCAAATTGACTAGGTTGGTTAACTGGGTGAGAAAATATAGACATGGCTGATTATATCCAGTACACCTTTAATAGGAACTTTGGTGGTTCTACAGGAAGGAGCGTGGAGAAACAGTTGCCACATAGTATGTCTACCACAGGTTAGTTTTGAAGGAGGAGGAGTTGACAGGTAAAAAAGAAATGAAAGGGTATTGGGGTAGAGGAAAGGGTATTAGAGATAAGCCAGATTACAAAGCTATAAAAATCATAATACATACTGTGCTTTAAAAACAGGGACTAATTCACTGGGGCGAGAGTATGGGATACCTGGGAAGACTTCTTTATCCTAGCAGGATAACAATTTAATTTGTTATCCAGATAAAAGCTCTTCATTTTCAGCAACAGTTACCATATTAGGTGGTGATAGAGTTGACAATATGATTGAGACATATTTTGTCTCAAAAGGTTACTAGACTGTTTTCACAAACCTTTTTTCTTTTTTTGCCAAAAAAGGTTATAAAAGGATATTATTTTCTTTCCAGCAAGAGTTGTCATATCTGGTGGAGTTGGAGTTAAATAAATTATATTTGAGAAAATTTTATTTTCTGACTGATGTAATTAATGCACAGCTCTCACAAATCATGGTGATTTTGTGTGTGCCACAAAGTTGTAAATGAAAATACGGCATCGTCTCTAAATATTAGCGAATGTAAAACTGCACTGAAGGCCAGTGATAACTGGCCTCCTGTGGTTATAAACTATTAAACAGATTCTATTCAAAAAGTATAATTGGCAGAAGACACGAAGCATGTCTGAGCATGATAACACCATATTACATTTCACAACCTTTCACACTAACTTCATCCTGATGAGCAAAAGTTAGTTTTAGAAAGAGTTCCTGTTATTGAAACATTTCACCTATCTCTGATGTTCTGAAGTTCAAATTAAAAGCAGATGCTAGGACTTAGTTTTGGCACAGGTGCTGAAAATCAAGCCCTCTGATACACTGCCAGCGGGAACTGCAATTGATATTACCTTTCCGAAAGGCCATTTTCAGGTATTTTTAAGATGTGAAAACGCTTTGATACAGAAATTTAACTTAATAGAAATTTGTTTTAAAAACAGAATAATGATTGTATACAAAAATCTGCCTACTGTGACATGTTAGCAGCACAAATAAAAAAT